TCTGGCTAAATAATAAGTATCGGACAGGTAGAGAGAGAAGGGGAGTAGAGTGTGTAACGAGTGAGCACGAAGAAAAGCGTGGATTACGGTGTCTTTGCGAAATAGAGAAGTTCGGACGGTAACGGTAACGGCAACGGTAAACGGCAACGGTAGCGGCAAACAGCAACGGCAAACGGCAACGGTAGCGGCAAACGGTAACGGTAGCGGCAAACACCTCGGTTTTAATGAGTCAAGCAATCGGTTTAATTAGAAAGAAAGAAAGAAAGAAAGGCTCCGGGCAAACCATGTTTAATTATACGCTCGCCCTCTTCAAGTCGTTTGTCCATGCTAATACAGCGCATGCGCGAGTTATGAATTCGGCTAGGATGCAAGTACCCCTTTTTCGGACACGGAGAGAGAAAAGCGCCAGGATACATCGCCGTAACCGGGATCCAGCACGATGGATCCTGCCGCTTGGCACAGAAGGTATGGTTCCACCCTGTAAACGGGACGCTGTGGTGGCGCCATACAGTCCGTGTTTTTAAACGGAGAAAAGAAGGCACAGCACGATGGTTCCCATAACCTGGGACGGGCAGAATAGCTATACCCTGTAAACGGGACGCTGTGGTGTTGCCATTCAGCCCATGTGATGACGAGGTCGAATAAGGTTAGCGAGAAACATCGCGGGAACCGCAGCACAGCACGATGATTCTCACAACCCGGCACGGAAAGAATAGTTCCACCCTGTAAACGGGGTCCGGAGAGATTATTTCATTACCTTTAATTTTTACAGTTAAGACATTTGTAAATTACGGGTCTATTTTTCCCGGGTCATTATAATCCAATGCAATGCTTGATTGTATTTTTCACAGCATTTTTTTTATTCAGGATCCAAAAGCGTTTTCAGGTGTAAGCTGACGGAAGCTAATGTAAAGTGGTGAGATGGGCATCTGTGACCACGCATCTTGCCAAGTGACTTCGATACGTCAAAATCATGGGTAGTTGAGAGTGCTGAAGTCAACCTCCTACTCTCAAAGCTCTATCATTGTCTGGAAACGGATTGAGATTCAGAATTTTGCTTTTGGAGCGTTTTGATTTCTTTTTCGAAAAAGCATTGCTGTTCCATTTTAACAATGTGTAACAGCGTGGTTGCCATTTCTTTGACAGTTAATTTCGATGGATGCTTCTTTTCTCTGCACTTGTCCAGAAATCTCTTACCATATCATCCGGATCATTATTTTAAGTAACGAGAATCTCTGAATTATTTAATTGCTGCGCATTGTTTGTGTGTTAATGATGATTGTGTAACTAATTTTTTCTTCTTCAGTCGTTGCTGGAATAATTGAAGGATTTCTTGATACGCTATGTAACAGCATTGTATAGTAACAGTAACCATGCCGGTCTATGCCACCAGAGAGCGTATTTCTTTAGTTTCGATGGCTTCAGAGTCCTCTGGATATTACATCGGCAGAATTGTCTTCTGATTTTACATGATGCCAGAATTTACTGGATACAAATTTATTTATTTCAGAGATTTTATTGTTAACAAAATATTTCTATCTTGATGGCTCTCTTTTTGTCCTTTTATCCATGACAGTGTTATCGTGAAGTCTGAGTAGGCCTAGACTGGAACTTTCTCTAGCGATAAAGCTAATATAGATCTTTTGATTAGTTTTGAATAGAACTGCAGCGCAAAGTTAAAGTCGTGGTAGAGTTGCCTTCATCCGTGCTGGAGCAACTTTGGATTTAGTAGTCAAAAGAGTGACTTGGATTTCATCTTGTGGATTTGTAAGTTTCATATAGATGACTGCAACGTATGTTTTCTCTGATACATCGCAAAATCCATGTATCTCAATGTTGCTTTGTTTGGATTGATGTGTCCATCTTGAAATTGTTGAATGGATGGATTTTGATTTGTCTATACACTTTCTCAATGTCAGCTGTGATAACTATTCTGTGTGATCTCCAACGTTAAAGAATATGCGAAAGTTCTTGTTGTAGTTTGGGACTAGTGTACATTGTTTCATTCAGGCTGAACCTATTACCCTATGACATCATTATAGATTTTGTTAAGCTGGTCCATGTACTTATCGGTGTAGTATACATGAGAATGATACTCTGTTCACAAATTTCAACATGATTTTTCTCGATTTCTTCCCAGAGTGACTCGAGCACATTCATTTTGTTTTGATAATATTGCTCGGTTTTTCTGCTTGTAGAGTCTTTTTTAATTGGATAGATGGCGTTGAATTTCCTATCCGAATGTTTCTTGGGATTTGGCCAATGTGTTGATAGTTTCTATTGGTATAATTGTTATATGTTATCTTTGTTTGTGTAGTGTTTGTGCTTAGACCGGTGTCAAAGTGTTCAACCCTGTAGGGCTAGATGATGTATGTGTATATGTATGTGAATATATTTTTCATATTTTTTTTTGCTTATTTGGAACTTTTAACATACTTTTCATTTTCACATCTCGTCTCTCGCTTCTTCAAGTTTCCTCTCGTATAGAAATTGAGATTGAGATTAAAATGACATCAAGAAGATTTGTGAATAGATTAACTGTATACTTTTTTGAAATTTTATGATTGTTAACAAAGAAACAAAATTCTAGCTACGTGAGTAGGTACCTACGAGTTCTACAATTAGATATTGATATAAAACTCTCAAGGTAAGGAAATTGTGCACAATTTTGCAAACCTGCCTGTTGACTGGAACATTCGTGAATGGAATTTTACTCTTCAATATAATCCAATGAATTTGATACAAGCAGCAGCGAATTATGTGCAGCAAAACGCCCCAAGTACTTTATGTGATTAGTTAGATGGTAAATAGCGAGCGGTATATTGAAGGTGTTATTATATACTTGGAGTTGCTATCTAATCTGTGGAAGGGTCTATTTGCAAGAGAGGGAAACAAACTAATGAAGTGTACTAAATTATATTTTATCATACATAAAACCAAAAATCAGCCAAAGAAATTCCAATCCTTTACATCCTTCTTTATTTCTATAAAATCAATTACTTCACATCCGTTCTAAGTTGTTATTTTACGGACAACTGAAATATCCTTACTAAATAAGAAACGCCCTATTCCTACTATTTCTCATACTTATAATTTAACTCATTTCACTACATCCGAAACATTCCTAATAACTACCCTTTACCTAATTATATAAATTCTTTAAAATATCTAAGTCCTTTACTGATTGCTTATGAAAACCCAAAATAATTACCTATTTGTTTATCAACTAATTTATTCTCATAAAACCTTACAATAAATTCTACTTGAAAAATAAGAACTCTAATTCAAAATTCAATTCATGAACAATAAATTTCCTTTTCAACAACTTTCCAAGATTTTAAGACAATTCTATTCCATGAACTTCAAGTTTCTTTTCAAAATTTTCTATTCCCTTTAATAGTTTATTTAATCAGAACAATTCTATTATAAGTTTCCTTTAACACTTTCCAATATTTTAAGACAATTCTATTTTTCAAAATCTCCTATTCCATTTAATTAGAACAATTACAAATTCTCGCCATCCCGGCTAACATACAAAATTATTTAAATTCTTACGAGTTCGTTATTATAGCCCTTAATTTTCAATGGCACAATCCAGTTCAAACTCCTTTAATAATCCCTACTCAAATCGAAACTATTTATGTTCTGTTAAATGCATTATAATTTCCCTTCATATTTTCTTTGCACAATTAAATGACATTATATCTGAAGGCAATTAAAGTTATGCAATAATGTTCCATTTATAAAATACTCGAGCTAATAATTTTAATGTAATAAAGTTCCACAGTGATTAAAAGTCAAAAGTTTTTCTAGTGAAATTCACACAAAGTCATGTTCATCATTCAAAAATAAATCTTGTCACTATAGAGTACTTACATTTTGTCCATAAAACATAAAACTAATCTAATTTAATTATTTTGATTACTTAGAGCCCGCACATAATTATTGAACGAATTTCAAATGTTATTGCTTCATTTCAAAACTTTCCGCTACTTTTTCTAAGTTAAATTATACCCGAGGCCATATGCCATAAAAGTAACTTTTCGCGAAACTGGACAGACTTTAACTGAACTGGACTGGACAATTGTTAACTGGCAACTAACTTACTCCTTCTAAAAAACGCGGTATTTATATGAAATCGATGCTCCCAAATCTCTTTGTCCATGACAATTAAGATGATGCAATTTCCTTGGAATTTTATATTATTTTTAGCCTGAAAACGATTAATTATGTCGCAATATTCTGATTTATTAAGGTCAAAACGTTATGGGTTCCAGAATGCCATATATCATTCGAATTAATTAGATACGCATGGCCTTTGCTAACAAAAAAAGTTCATTGATCGGGTTTTAGGATGACATCACGCTGTCGAGATACGTTAGCGTTAATTTGTTTCATTTTTAATTTATCGGTACTGATTTAAGAATACCAGAATTAAGTTTTTGATTATTTGATAAAATTTGATTTTTTACAGTAAAGACTTTGTAACTATCGGGTCAAATTTCTGGATCATCACATATGTAAAACAGGGTTGACTGCTGCGGCAGGGTTAGTGATAAATTATCTAGTGATGTCTCGAAACGAGACGAAATTCGTGAATGATCTCGTCTCGCCTCGCCTGAATCTCAATTGCGACTTCGAGATTAATTTGAAACAAGACGGCTGAGACGATACTCGTAAGGTGTCGTGTTGTGGAATAATAGCCTCACCTCCAACTCGACACTAAAATAATCTCGAGACGACACGATATTCGGGCGAGACAAAAAGAGACAAGATGAGACTAACAAATTCTAACTACAATTACATTTTATTCAAAAGTTAATTATTTTATTTTTTTACAGGTTACATTGTCCATCGAGCCTTAGACCACAAATACCCCGTAGTCAGTTTATGGGAAACGGCCCATTTTCCAGACGTCTCCACACGCGTATGCATAAACGGCATAACGGACATGTCGATATTGCCAAAACTGAGGGAGCTTCTTGCAGACAGAGAAATTAAAATCATCGAAGTGAATGATGCAGTGGATTATTGTCTCAAAGCTTATAAGCAAGAGTCTAAAAGAGAATTGGATGAAAACGATAACGTTTCACTATCCAAAGAGATGAAACCCAATAAGAAAGCTGCCAAAATACCACACAAAAAAATTACTGAAGGTTCATCAGAAACTCGAAACAAACAAGTCCAAACTCCGTTGAAGTTTCCCTGCGAAGAAATCATCTACACCCATCAAGCTCAATTAGGCAAAACAACTCAAGAACTTTTAGACCAAGGCGAGCCTATAGGCGATTTCCTTTTAGCCGACATATTTATCGAATACCTGAAATCGATTCCTGATCTTAAAGGTTGGGCTCTAGTTAATTATCCTACGAACTTTGAACAAGCGGTAATGATTGAAGAAGCCTTAACTGGAGTGAAACTTATGGACTCAATAACCAGAAAAACTCTAGAAATGGACGTCGATAAAGAGGTTTGCAGTTTGTACGGTGATTTTGACGAAAAAAGATGCTCAAAGTTATTCAGTAATCCCATTATAGCGAAACCGGTTCAGGTTTACGATACGGCACTAACTGCTTTTATTAGATTGAAACAAATAACCAAGGAAGATTTTGAGTTGTATGACGACATAGATTCGTTAGATACATTCTATTTTGACGTGGGAGCCAATTATCCAATCTACTACAAAGAATTGGATTTAAACACCATAAGACAATTGGCCAAATTCATCATCGGTGATTCACCTTTGAAGAGTTGCTCGGAATTATTTGGAACTGCTACAGTTGGAGTAAAACCGACTAAGAATGCTGACAAATTGAAAAAGGCACAACCAAAACAAGAGATGACTGATAAAACTGCTAGTCATGCAAAAGATCGAAAAAGCAAAATGAAAAATTTTGCTGATAAATTTGTCCAAGTTTCGAGCGAAGACGAGGAAGAATGTGAGTTGAGTACGGTGACTTTGATTGTTCCAGAACCTGGACAATCGGGATGGGAGTATTGTCGATCTGGTTGTCCCGACGAATTATTGGTAAGTTCAGCCAGTCATCGTTACAATAATTTGTAGCAGTCATGCCAGGTCTGGTGAAATTGCACCAGATCTGGTGATTTTATGAAAAAGCTGGTGATTGGTCCCTCGTAATGTATTAAAATTTTACTTCATTAACATACAAATTACATTTGTTTGTCAGAAAACCAAATACCCATAAGTGGTGTGTGAGGTCCTTTGATTTTTATATAAATTTGTATTTGTTCTTTTGATATATTTATATATGTTTCCCTTTTTATATTTCAATTTCTGTTCATTCCAGGCTCTTGTTGCTATTGGCCGGTTATTTTTCAAGTTGGCAACATGTATTTTGTTTGACCAGTGGCGTTGCTTATGGGGGGTTTCAGTAAAACCAAACGAAAACTCGAAATTTTCAATTTTCATATTTTCGAAATTTTGACTTTTCCAATTGATTCAGCGGGTTTAAATTAATCGAAAAAAATTCTAACATCACTTTGAAAATGGCCATTTCAAAAAGCTAAAAAATATCAATTTTTGTTCTGAAAATTTTTTCAAATCTTGACAAGGAATAATGGCCAATATCTTCAAAGAAATTTGAACAAATCAATACAAATTATATATAGTTGAAAAAAGCAATAAATTCTCTATAAATCCATGCTAAATTGGTTCTGATAACTCGAAAACTTTCTGGGCAATTGAATCTCAAATTTAAGTTTTACTCCAAATTTTATCAAAAATTTCAAACTCGATTTTCTCGAAAACCATAGGAGCTAGCGATTTTAACTAAATACCATTTCAAAGTACTTGTCAAGAGTTACATTTCCTGAAAATTTTAATTCAAAATCTTTAATAGATTTTAATATATCCAAGATCAAATATTTTGAAATAAAAATCGAAAGGGGTAAGCCTTTGAAAAATTCGAAATTTTTATTGTTCATATTTATTGTATTTTGACTTTTCCAATCAATAGAGCGGGTCTAAATTAGTCGAAAAAATTTCTAACGTCATTACAAAATCTTGATTTCAACACAAAGAAAAATTAAAAAGAAAATCTTAATTTTCAGGTTTAAATTTTTTTTAAATCCTAACAAAGTTAGGAGCAATTGCCAATACTTCTATTAAATTTTGAGCAAATCAAAATAAGTTATATATGGTTGGAAAGAGCATTAAATTCTCTATAAATCAGTGTTAGATTGAGTTTGATAACGCAAATACTTTTAGAGCAATTGAGTCTCAAAGTTGGATTTTAGTTGAAATTTAGTCAAAAATTTTAAACTCGATTTTCTCAAAAACCGTAAATGCCAGCGACTTCAATTAAATACCATTTTGAAGCCCTCATCAAGGGCTACAATCTCAAAAAAAATGATTCAAAATCTTTGACGGGTTTCGAGAAAATTGAGTTTAAAAATTTTGAAATTAAAATCCAAAGTTTAACCCTTTGAAAAATCGAAATTTTTATTTTTCAGATTTTTTGAATTTTGACTTTTCCAATCGATGGAGCGGATCTAAGTTAGTCGAAAAAAACTCTAACATCATTTCCAAATCTTGATTTCAAAAGAGAAAAAAAATCAAAAATAAAATCTCAATTTTCAGGTTTAAATTTTTTTTAAATTCCAACAAAGTTAGGAGCAATTGCCAATACTTCTATTAAATTTTGAGCAAATCGTAATAAATTATATATGGTTCGAAAGAACATCAAATTCTCTATAAATCAATGCTACATTGAGTTTGATAACTCAAATACTTTTGGAGCAATTGAGCCTCAAAGTTGGATTTTAGTTGAAATTTAGTAAAAAACTTCAAACTCGATTTTCTCAAAAACCGTAAATGCCAGCGACTTCAACTACGTACTATTTTGAAGCCCTCATTAAGGGCTACAATCTCAAAAAAAATTGATTCAAAATCTTTGACGGGTTTCGAGAAAATTGAGTTTGAAAATTTTGAAATTAAAATCCAAAGGTTTAACCCTTTGAAAAAATCGAAATTTTTATTTTTCAGATTTTTTGAATTTTGACTTTTACAATCGATAGAGCGGATCTAAATTAGTTGAAAAAAACTCTAACATCTTTTCCAAATCTCGATTTCAAAAGGGAAAAAAAAAATCAAAAAGAAAATCTCAATTTTCAGGTTTAATTTTTTTTCAAATCCTAACAAAGTTAGGAGCAATTGCCAATAATTCTATTAAATTTTGACCAAATCAAAATAAATTATATATGGTTGGAAAGAGCATCAAATTCTCTATAAATCAATGCTACATTGAGTTTGATAACTCAAATACTTTTGGAGCAATTGAGCCTCAAAGTTGGATTTTAGTTGAAATTTAGTAAAAAACTTCAAACTCGATTTTCTCAAAAATCGTAAATGCCAGCGACTTCAACTACGTACCATTTTGAAGCCCTCATTAAGGGCTACAATTTCAAAAAAAATTGATTCAAAATCTTTGACATGTTTCGAAAAAATTGAGTTTGAAAATTTTGAAATTAAAATCCAAAGGGGTTTGAAATAATCGAAATTTTTATTTTTCAGATTTTTTGAATTTTGACTTTTCCAATCGATGGAGCGGATCTAAGTTAGTCGAAAAAAACTCTAACATCATTTCCAAATCTTGATTTCAAAAGGGAAAAAAAATCAAAAATAAAATCTCAATTTTCAGGTTTAAATTTTTTAAAAATTCTAACAAAGTTAGGAGCAATTGCCAATACTTCTATTAAATTTTGAGCAAATCGAAATAAATTATATATGGTTCAAAAGAGCATTAAATTCTCTATAAATCAATGCTAGATTAAGTTTGATAACTCAAATGCTTTTGGAGCAATTGAGCCTCAAAGTTGGATTTAAGTTAAAATTTAGTTGAAAACTTCAAACTCGATTTTCTCAAAAATTGTAAATGCCAGCGACTTCAACTAAATACCATTTTGAAGCCCTCATCAAGGGCTACAATCTCCAAAAAAGTGATCCAAAATCTTTGACGCGTTCCGTGAAAATTGAGTTTGAAAATTTTGAAATTAAAATCCAAAGGTTTGAAAAAATCGAAATTTTTATTTTTCAGATTTTTTGAATTTTGACTTTTCCAATCGATAGAGCGGATCTAAATTAGTCGAAAAAAACTCTAACATCATTTCCAAATCTCGATTTCAAAAGGGAAGAAAAATCAAAAAGAAAATCTCAATTTTTAGGTTTAAATTTAAAAAAAATCCTAACAAAGTTAGGAGCAATTGCCAATACTCCTATTAAATTTTGAGCAAATCAAAATAAATTATATATGGTTGGAAAGAGCATTAAATTTTCAATAAATCCGTGCTAGATTGAGTTTGATAACGCGAATAATTTTAGAGCAATTGAGCCTCAAAATTGGATTTTAGTTAAAATTTAGTCAAAAACTTCAAACTCGATTTTTTCAAAAACCGTAAATGCCAGCGATTTGAACTAAATATCATTTTGAAGCCCCCATCAAGGGCTACTATCTCAAAAAAAATTGATCCAAAATCTTTGACGGGTTTCGAGAAAATTGAGTTTGAAAATTTTGAAATTAAAATCCAAAGGTTTAACCCTTTGAAAAAAATCGAAATTTTTATTTTTCAGATTTTTTGAATTTTGACTTTTCCAATCGATAGAACGGATCTAAATTAGTCGAAAAAAACTCTAACATCATTTCAAAATCTCGATTTCAAAAGGGAAAAAAAATAAAAAATAAAATTTCAATTTTCAGGTTTAAATTTTTAAAAAATCCTAACAAAGTTAGGAACAATTGCCAATACTTCTATTAAATTTTGAGCAAATCATATAAATTATATATGGTTGGAAAGAGGATTAAATTCTCTATAAATCAGTGCTAGATTGAGTTTGATAACTCAAATACTTTTGGAGCAATTGAGCTTCAAAGTTGGATTTTAGTTGAAATTTCAGAAAATAAAAAAAATAAAATAAAAAAAAATCCCGAAAAAATGAGACTGAAAAACCAGGTACACACTATGAAGGTAGTGACTACACATAAAAACCCTCACCCCTACGGACTGTAATTTGAAAAGACCCCGGCCCTCTGGGTTCGTAACTTAAGTAGACCCCGGCCCTTCGGGCTCGTAAATTAAAAAGACCCCGACCCTATGGGCCTGCGAAGTGTTGTTGTCAAACTTACGATTTTTTTTATTAAAATTACGTCTTTTGAAACTCTATTTTTGCTTAATTGTTTTATTCAATTTGCATTATTTTCAACGGCATTAGTGTGCACTGAGTGTATTCGTGTCTTTTTTTACTAGTTTGTATAAAAAAGAGATAGAAATACATTTTTTCTGAGTTCAAAGTAGGCCCTATAGTTTTTGACAGTTGATTTGAAATGACTGGGTTGTTTGCAATACCTACTTGATTTGATAAATTTTTTGATTACAATTATCTGTATTACCGACATCGATTAAAACCTGGGCTGGGATCACGACAAGTAGAATTCCACTAGAATTTTACTTTCATGACATCAGGTTGCCTAGTAACAGTGATCATCGCCTTTAGTATACGCGATAAATAGGTCGCTGGTGACGTCATGAAAATAGAATTTTACTTGTCCATGATCCCAGCCCAGGATTGCTTCAAGGTTCACTTAGTTTTTGATAAGTAGTAATTTTATCGCTTGTCATAAATGATATTTGATATTTTGCCCAACAGTGTTGCCAATGTTTATATAATTACTGTTATGGAAAATTTGCAATTTGCAAGGCCTACTTGGGCTTTTTTTTGTATAAATTCGAGCCTCAATGATTGACACAATATTTGTTATAAGTTGTAGTTGGCAACACTGTTTGACAATGGACAAAGTAAACATTGCAAAATTTTAAATTTTAAATATGGCGTCCTGTAATACCGACATTGCAATACATACATGTTTCCGAAGCCTACTTGGTTTGATATAAGCCCGAAAGGTGAAAATTTTTCTGAAAAATCAACTTTCAAGATTTCTGGTGATTTTTTTTTAAATCTGGTGATTTTTCACTCCAATTTCTGGTGAATTAAATTTTTTTGACCTGGCAACAGTGCTATGGTCTTATTTGCTTAAATTTATTTGTGTGATTATAATTCTTTTTTGTTTTCAAGAATTCTCTGGCAACTGTTTGGGAAACATTTGAGGACACCTACACGAGCGACTTGCAACAAGTTCTGTACCTGATGAGGTTGAATTTGAATTCGGTAGAGCCCTTCGTGCAGTATGTAAAAGATTGCATGGAGCAAATTGTCGACAGATCCGTAGAACAAGAGACGATTTTGTGGAAATTTTGCTCTGCTTTCAACGCGTTCGACAAGGAGTCTAGAAAAGATGAGGAATTTAAAGGGGAAATGTATTGCAGGTTAGTATGAAAACATATTGTCATTTTGAAATAAGACTTTTTCATAAAGTGAGAGAAAAAAATTAGGTAAGACGAAAATGGTAGGTGAAAGAAAACTTGGAAGAAAATGGTAAAGTGTTGATTTATAGTTGGTTTCCTTAATAATACAAATATTGATACGAGAAAAATGAGACAGGAAATTTAATTAAAATTCAAAAAAGGAGAGAGGAAATTGAGGACAAATTTTTGGTTGACAAAGGAATATGAGTATTTTCTCTATTCCATTTTCTCCAGGTTATTGAATAGGTACTTCCAGTTTAGAGAAGTTTGATAAAAACAAAAATTCAAGAGCCGGGAATAGACAAAAATTTAGACAAATATTTTACTCATATATAAATTTTCCCATAAGAGAAGTGAAATTATCAAAAGATTACAACTCACTGTACATTATTCCCATATGACACGAGAGGCTTAATAAGTGATAAGCCTTTTGGGATTATCGCGCTTAAAGTACCTATTAAAGTTTAGTTTGTTATATAACCTTTTGAATACCACTCGATATTTCAGGATTACCTAATACTTTTACCTGACACTCAACGCGTTACCAGCAACACCACTCCTCCTTCGGAGTCGTGGTGTTACTGCGTATTGCGTTTCGTGACAGGTAAAAGTATTAAAGTATTACCCGGTAATCCCGAAACGTCTTGTGGTATTACATTCGAAAATTTCCCTTGTGGAAATTACACAGGAAATTTTGCATAAAATTTTTTAAATAATAAGTGGAAATTTTTGGAATTATCTCGGGAAATTTACAAAAATTTTCGAAATTGTAATTTTTGGCATTTTTAAGTAATAGGCGTTCTAACAATCACTATCGACATTTCCACACAACTTAGTAGATAAATTTCGAACTCGGGAAATTTCCTATTAAAATACATACAACACATGCATAAAATATTTCTTGAGAGAAATAGTCATCATCAATAGTTTTTCCTTCCCTTATTTTTTAAAATGGTTTGACGTCACAAGGCGCGCTTGCGCCCTGTATTTCTAAATTTAAGTTTGCATCACTGACAGAATTTGCTAGTTGTCTAGTTGGCTACCCTGCGACTGGCATATGTCCGTCTTCTTTTAGAGGTTATGTCAGTTATTTTGTTATTTATTTTCATTCGCCCGCCTAGACTGATTGATTTGAAAAATAAAAAATAAATACTAATTATATTTTCGATTCAGAAACTTGTATTTTAAAAAACATTTATTTTATTGATTAAAATACAGAGGTGACAAAAGAAAATATTCGGATCAAATTGCTACAGGCTAAAGCCAGAAAACAAATGAACGTTCCTTATGGGACGGCATCGGCTTAAATAAACATTTATTGCCGACATAGCAATTTGATGTTTACTTTACAACAATGTATTTAAAAAGTCCTAGAGGAAAGGGCACATTAAAGCATATAAAAAATAGATAATTGATTATAAATCAGCATGGCAATTGGTTAATATAACTCCTCCCTCCTTAAGATGTTGCAAACGTGGATTGTTGTGAATTCAAATCAGACAATTCAATTTGCACATTTGCACAACCTTTTTCTGAAGTTTTATATTTCCTAAAACAGTAAAACAGTAAAATTAAAAATAAAATAGCAAGACTTAAACCTATGATTACATATGTGTTTAAATAAGAGTGTTCAAAAGACAATTCTTTTAGATTATGAACTCTTATTTGTTTCGTTGTCTTGAAGGCTTCTTCTAAGTCTTCTTGGTTGTTGCGTTTTCTGGAAGTTCAGGGATGTCTATTCTTGGAATCTTCAGTTCAAAATTGAAGTTCTCGCTGGTTTTTGAAAATGTTTGATTTTGTATTTTTACAAAGCATTTTTCAAACGAAACTAGCGTTGGATTTGTTATTATTTCCATATGGTTTGTCTTGTCACATTGAATAACTATTGTTAGGCTTTTCTTAGGAATGACTAATAGTTGTCCATTCGGGAGTTGTCTCACTGTTGGTTTTTCATATTTCACTTTAGTGAAAGGACATTGTTGTGGTAGGTCAGTAATCAGGTCATAGACACATGATTCTTCTTGCTTCAGCTCTTCTTGGTTACAAAGGTACACACTTTCGACTTTCGGGCATTCCCATAACGTATTGTAGTAAATGTCCGTAGTAAGTAATAGGTAAGGGTACTTATTCCTAATGGTAAGTTCTTGAATAGGAATTGGATAGATTTTATACAATATAAAGGGCTTGGGATCAATCATTGGTGTGTGTATAACAAATATAATTAACTCATTTTGGATTTTTACTTGAGTTTTCATTGTCTCATAATACTTGATTTTATTATCAAAAGGTATTTGCTGACTTTTGGGTATATTTGTTAATATTTGATTTAATTCATTATGCTGTAAAATAGTATAATGCATTATTCCCAATTGTGCAAAATTTATTGCTAATTGCACATGATCAATAAGATTCCTTATTTTATTACTTTGAATATTGATGTTGTTCAATATTAGATTAAAGGTTAACATTGAGTGGAAATTTTGGTTTTCCAAGGAAATATTTTGTAATTTTCCTGTGATAACCTTTTGGTTAGATTCATTAGTTAAAAATTGATCGTGAAATGTTTTTGTAACTTGTTTCAATACTTGAGCTTGTGTTTTTAGATCTTCATTGAGAGTTTTTTGATTATCATTGAGCGTCTGGATATAAGAATCATATCTTGCGCCATCTTCAGCATCTAGGGTTCCGTAGAGCCATTTTTGTGCTGTGCCCATGAAATTTAATAGACCTCTTTTATTACGTTTTCGGTCTTGATAAGTTCTGATAACTTGTTTCATAATCTTTATTTGAGAATGACTGTTTTCAATATTTGTTTGAAACAGTGCAACAAATTGGTTTGACCATGTTGTTTTGTTAAGAGTGTCAGATAATTTCATTAAGGTGATTTCCAGTTTATGGATACTTTGAATGATAATTGTTGTGTTTATGTGATAATAGGCCGTGTTATGTTGAGTTGTTACGTAAGTAGTTCCTAAAGAGATTGGTAAAATAGGATTTTCTACCGTCATCAATGTATACGCTTGGGTGACTCCAACGAGAGTTAGGAATACTAATGGATTCATCTCGGAGTACCTGAAATAAATTATTGTCGTTTAACATTTTGTTTAGCAAAGCGATTCTGTGTTTTGCTATCATAACGCGGACTTATCTTGTCTCTATTAAATTGTTTTACAAAGATTGGATCTTGTAATTCTGGTTCAGGTTCACGATTTTTTATTACGTGATTCTAAAGACTTTATTTGTTTCGCTAATAATTTTTCTTGAATTTCTTTATTCAAATTTGCAAGGGATTCTGCCAAACTTGTTATATAGTCAGTTGTTAGTTTATTTTCCGTTTGTTCAATCGGTATGGCATAATTCAAATCTCCTTTAATCACTTGAAAAGGGGTGTGATTCATTGTACTATGAGTACTGTTGTTATAATTCATAATAGCGATTGTCATTAGATCAATAATACTCTTATTTGGGTTTTGGAGTTTTAAACTCGTTATACTTTCACGTAGTGTCGAATGGAATCGTTCGATTGGACTATTCGAGTTCGGGTTTCTTGGAGTTGTGTAATGAAACTCAATTTTGTATAATGTACAAAGATCTGTCATTATAGCATTTTTGAACTCTGCTCCATTATCTGATGTGATTTTTTGAGGTATTCCATGATCACTAAAATATTTCAATAAATGTGATGATATTTCAACAGCTGTTTTTGTATTTACAGGAGAGGCTTGACCAAATTTTGAAAAGCTATCAATAATGGTCAGAAATTTCTGGTTATTGATTATATACGTGTCAATATAAATATGTTCAAAAGGTTTCATAACAATGGGTGTTGGTTTGAATATGATTTTGTATGGTTGACGTTCATACTTGGTTTTATTGCATATCTCGCATACTTTGACGTAATTCTGTACGTCTTTCTCAATATTGGGCCAATATAATCTTTTCTTTAAGGCTGCAATATTTTCAGTGATTCCTCTATGAGAGGTTTTAGTCTCATGATATTGCTGAATTTTCTCTTGTTGAAGATCAACTTCTGTGATGTCTTCTAATAAAGAGTTCGAGATGTACAAAGTAAATGAATTCGAATTAAACGATTCTTGTAATGCTCATATCACTATAGGTTCTAAAGATTTATTTAGGAAATGAAGGCAATAAATACCAGGTGGCATGTATTCCTTTACTAAATTAGTAATTTGTGATGTTGTTGGATTATTCGGTAAGAAGAATATTATTCTCTTTTTATTACCAAATAATTTGATTATCTCTTTTCTAATTGTGTTATTATTGGAATATCGAAATACAATTTGATTTCCAAATACATTTACATGTTTCTTAGTATATGGAGCTCCTAATATTGGATTTTCCATAGACGTATGTATTGTTTGGTCATTTTCAGACAAGGCTGAAATTGTTGAAGAACGATTAGTTGGTGTTATTTGTCTGTTACTTTTTTGAGTTTTCGAAGATTCTCCTATTTCTATGGGAATTTCTTTTTTCTCTTTTCTTGGAGGTATTATTAGTTGTGATAATATCTTTATTTTGGGTTTCACTTTCTTAGCTTCTTCTTCAGGTTCTTTTTCTGATGCTGTTTTTATTGATTGAGATGATTCAGACACTGTTATCTCTTTTTCTTTAGCTATCTCGCTTTGTTTGGGAAGATATACTTTACAATCTGTAAAGTATTTTGCTATGATTTCATCATTACATAATGGTGTATCTTTCAGCATTAATCCTATTTTTTTATGAAATTCTTCATCTGAAGATGTTAATCTGGCATCTGGATCTGATTTTTGAATGGCATGAAGTTGTATTGCAGGAATTCTTGATAGTGCGTCTGCATTCATGATTAATGTTCCTTTTTTGTATTTGATTTCATAATCAAATTCAGATAGTTTTAGTCGCCATCTGACTAGTTTAGAACTTGGTTCTTTAACATTAAATAGCCATTGTAGAGGTTTGTGATC